CAATCCATTTGCGGATCCATCAAAAATTGCGAGTCTTTGATCCAAATTAGCTTCTTAATGAATAGATTTTTTTGTTTTAATCATTAGTTATAAAGAATAGATGAAGAAATATGTGATTACAGAAAGCTAGATCATCGGCTGTGGATACTTTGAAGAACTTCTCCCTTGAAGTTCCTAGGGGGGATAAGGAGGATGTGCCGCAGAAGGCAAAATCTGAATCTTCACCGCTGAGTTCTTCCAAAACTGTGGAGGAGACCAAAATTGAGGCACGTTGAGTTTCTCATAGCTTAATTCCGCCTCGTTTTATTCATATCCTTTTTCTCCTTCATCTGTAAGATCAAATTTGAAGAATTCAAAATTCTTTCTGTGTAAAGTGAATTAAAACACACAAGGTCATATTTTCAGGCGAAAAAGCCTGTAGAGCAGGAACAGCCAGAGAAACTATCAGCTGTCGAAGAACTGAGGTTATTGAAAGAAGCTCTAGCAGCAGAAAGTAAAGATAGCTCTGATTCTGGAGGATCAAAGGGAGCCAGCGACGAGGTGAAATTCTTACCAGTTTTTCCGTTTTCTTTTCAAGGTTTTTCAAAATTTAGTACTATTGAATTCTGTGTAGGACATCTAATTGAATATGTAATATGATACTAGTCGTACTATTATTAATAACCATTAGTTTTACAATGATTTGGTTACTCTTCCAAACTTTTTCACTTTCATGTTATGGCTGGCTATTTCTGTTTGTACATGAGGATTTAAAAACCAATTTCAAAAATTTATGCTCTAGTTTATGCTTGTTCGTGCAAAACTGATTTATAAAATTTGACAAAAGGAGGAAAATGGATCCATCGTAGCTTTCATCGAACCTAATTAGCTTAATTGTATTGTTGCTTTCAAGACTCTAGTGAATAATTGCAACTTACTCTCTCTTGTTATGCTTGTTATTGGATTCTAAAAATCTTAAATGATTTTATTATATTTCAGTTTTGAAGTATAGCTTTTTAGAACACATTCGATGAAGATGCCGATAAAGAAAGGCGTCGTAAACGACTAGAGCGTAACACACGGATAGGAGGAATAATCCTTCTTGGAGGCAGCGTTGCTGGTCTTGTAGCCTTCTGTTTATACTATGGTGAGTGTCTTTTACTCTTGATTTTCCATCGTAATCTTTTCTCCATTTTTGTTCATTCCAGGACGCAGCAAACGCGACGAATCTGGAAAGGTCATCCCTGACGAATTTACTGGCTCATGGTTGGCACCTTTCTACCGCATCGCTAACAGCTTCCGTTTATGGAGGGATGTAAGTAGCTAAGACACCTTTTCAACATTTCTTATATCCTATGCAGCGTATATTCTTTTTACGTGTTTACAGTTTGTTGTTGAACCAGCTAGAGAGCAGCTCCTTCCCGATCCACTCCCTCATCCTTATATTCAACCAAGATACACTCTAGTAATTGAAATGAAAAATGTTTTGGTACATCCCGATTGGACATACAAAACTGGCTACAGGTAATTT